ATATATATATATATATATATATATATATATATATATATATATATATATATATATATAATATATACATGTTATCTGGTAATTCATAACATAAACAAAACATAATCGAGCAATTTGTCTTTTGTCTATGATCGCCCGGTTTCGTGTATCCGACGGAGGCGATTATAGTCGCATGAAACGATTGTGTAAGCGTAGTGTTTTTTCGCGACGAAAATGCGATTTACTCCACAGAAGTACACGGACTTGATTATTACCTATGGACTAGCGGGAGAAAATACGTGTGTTGTGGCTTGCGTTTATACGGAACGACATCCCGGGCGTGCACGATAACCGACGGTAAATACAATTTTACGTACAGTGCAACGATTGCGTGAAATTGGGTATCTTGTGCATAATCATGGTGCGGGTGGTCCACGAGTGCATCGTCACGTTCAAGATGAAGAAGATTCTGGCCGTGTTTAACGATAACTCTGGGACCAGCGTACGCCATATGGCACGAGAACTGGGACTCTCGCGGTACGCGGTGCATCACGTTTACGTGTGAACGGATTGCACCCATACAGTTATCAACGTGTGCAACAGCTGCTGCCAGGAGATGCACAACAAAGAATTAATTTTTGTGAAGGTATTGTGATTATTGAATTTTTGTGAAGGTATTGTGATTATTGATTTTTTATATTCGCGGTATTTTTATTGAATTATAACCATCGGCCGTCGGCAAAACACGCAGTTTTTCTCGCGCTGTACCATCGAGATCTATCTTTCACGGGCCGTATTTTGTGGACCGACGAGGCGACTTTTACGCCAAACGGCGTATTTAATACGCGTAATTTTTTACATTGGGACGAAGAAAATCCTTACGTCGTCCGCGAAGGTGCGTTCCAGAATCGATGGTCTATCAACGTATGGGCGAGAATGATTGCGGATCAAGTAATATGTGTGAGTGATAAAAATAAAACAACTTTTCCTTCGCCACTAAATCTAAGCATTTTTGTTGAGGATTTCTAGATTGGTCCGTATTTTTTGCAACCGCGTTTAAATGACAAAATATACGCTAACTTTTTAAAAACGGAGTTGCCGGTACTGCTCGCCGATGTGCCTCTTCGCATACGGGCGCAGCTGATTTTTCGGCATGACGAAGCTCCTGCGCACTTCTCTCGAAAAGTTCGCGATATTAGACGCGCGTTATCCTGATAAGTGGATGGGTCATGGTGACCCAATCACTTGGCCGACACAGTCGTCAAACTTAAACGTACTAGATTTTTTTGTATGGGATCATATAAAAAATCTAGTTGAGTATCGACGTAATAGTAGAGAAAACGAAGTACGTGAAGCTATTGTTGCGGTCTTCTGTATTATTATATCAGTATTATGCCGGAAATGGCGCATCGTGCAACGCGCAATATTGTTCGAAGAGCTGAACTCTGCGTACAGCAGAGAAGACGGCACTTCGAGCAATTTTTGCATTAAATAATGAGAGTGGATTAGGCCTACTGGGGATACCACTATAAAAAAAAAAACGCACCGAGCTATCTACCGCTAGGTGGTGAGGAAATGATAGCGCTTTATTATTCTTTTGCTACGTGAACCTGGAGAGTCACGTGAATCTGTCACGGAGGACAATAATTTTTCGACGCGCGGTCGCGTTCTATGTGTCACTTGTTACTTCGCCTCGAAATCAGCTGTTTATTTATCGTTGCTAAGAGATGAGCCATTTCTTTCACACACAGAGGAGGCGCTGAATTTGGCTCGGTATTTGGCGCTAATTTGCCAACAACTTTTGATTTAGCAGATGTTGTGTCCAATTTGATGACATTTTGGCAGCAAAATTTGTAGTCAAATGTTGGGCAAAATTTTCTCCAGCAGATTTGGCTATCTGGGTATGCAGCTGAAGCGGTGTCACGCTTCGATTCGGCGTCGATTCGGCACACGGATATGTCATGCATATGTGTCAGTGTTTCAAGCCTCGCTAATAGCATGTTCGACTGGCTCTGGGTTAACCCACTCTGGGTTATTCAGCCTACGTATATTGATCGAACAAATATTTATAAGCTTTATGATTGGCTAGTAGAGACTTATGACATCATTAATCGCTCTCGGAGCGATTAACCCAGGGCCAGTCGAACATGCTATAAGTTTCGTAGCTATGGGCGGAGGGACGCGGCGAGATGCGATTCGCGAGTGTCACGATTCGCACGTCGGCCGAAGGCATCTTTTTTTCCGCTGCCGCTTTCTGTATTGTTGAGACAAAATAATTAATGTCTCAAAAACTATTGCGAATATCGCAAACGGCACAGAACTTTCTTGCTCATCTTAATCCGTTCTACGTTCTTCCCAAGGGTCATCATGGAGATTCGGGACACCCTGTATAAGCAAATTGGCCAACTCTATAGGCAACTCATTAAAATCGTAATGTTTTCCTATGATTAAAAAAAATAGAAAGAAAGAAAGCCATAGAAACTGAAAGGATTTGCAGAGAATCTAACAGTTCTCTATCGTAATTGTTTATAAATTTGTGCTAAATTTTGACATGAATTTACCTATACAATAATTTTGTTGACAAATGTACTTAGACAAAGCGTGTTACGCTTTTTGTAAGAAGACGATAGAAAAACACCCATTCATGGCGTAACCACTTGACGATAGATTATGATGCACACCATCTATCGTAATTATACGTACAAATCAAATATCGTTCGTATACAATCGAGAACGATAGGTTTCCTTTAAACGATAAAGAACTTTGAGTTTCTCCCATCGTTAATACACCACAAATTATGACAGATTTCCAGTGATTTTTTTATGATAAATTCCAACAAAACGATAGGACACGACAAGTCTCTAAAAATTACATTATAGTAATGATTTAATATCCTCCTAATAGAGCACGATAGAAAACAATTTCATTTCTTGCCGATTCGATATATGCAAGGGATACGATACAGAAACAATTACAAAAAAGAACAGTTAAATTCTCTGCAAATTTTTTCAGTTCCTATCGCTTTCTTTCTTTCTATTTTTTTTAATAACAGGAAGACACTACGGTTTCAATGTGAATCTATATAATTAAAATTTGCGAGTCTTTGCAACAAAACATCTTAAACAAGCGGTCTTAGGCGTACTAAGGCGTGTGTATATCGGGTTCAAATTTATGAAGCACATAAAGATATAATTGCATGTATAATATAATTGCATGTAATCAAAGAAAGAAATTGTATAAGACAATTATACAACTTTAACTATGCAAAAATATACCTGTGTGATAAGCTGTTCACCTGTATAACAGAATAAGAACATATTTATTATCATAGCTGTAAGCGAAATAAAGTAAGAGCACATTGCTAATGAATTACTATTTCCCCATTCCTATAAAAAAATATTTATATAATAGTTTTATATCATAATATATTTTTTAACGTTATTTATTTAACTATATATGTAATAATATATAATATTATAATATATATTATAAAATAATATATATAATTTATAATATATATATATATATATATATATATATATATATATATAATATATACAATAATAGTTTATAATATATATTATAAAAATATAAAATAACCCACACAGCAGGAATGTTCCAAGTACATCAGGGATAGAAATCTTGAAAATATTAAATATTCCAAATATATCTTTAGGATATCCTTATGATATATTTTGGACATCTCTTCGGTGTGGAAAGCACTTCTCATACAGCACAGATCTTGCAGCAACATTGCAGTAATATTGCGGCAACACTGCTGCAACTTTTAACATTGCTGCAACGTTGCAGCAATATTGCTGCAAGATCTGTGCTGTATGGGTTTTATATTATATTGATATACTGATAAACTCACAAATTAAATTTTTAACAATTTATTATAATTTAATTTTTCTAAATACTTTCCGTAATTCTAAACATTTTTATATTATACTTAATTCTAAATATTTTCCTTAATATTGACTGAATTAAAATGAATCAAATCACAAACTATTAATATGCAGTAGCTTAGAATGCAAATTATTACTCTGGCCCCTGTTATTTCTATAAAATAAATCTGTTAAAGTGTACTTTCCATCAATTGCAAAAAGCTGATATTATACATTAGCTGATAGCTGAATAGAAGGAGGAGGGCATACTAGGTGGCGGCGAGACGCCGTGCGTTCGAGATCTGCGTATCTTTTTCGTTCCAGAAAGAGAAAAATATCGAGAGCGCGGCCTTGCTAAGGCCGGGACTCGAACCCGGGTCTTTTGCTTGCCGGGCGACTGCTTTAAACCACTGAGCTATCTGACGCTCCATGCTCACGACACTCTCCTCTTCCTAGATAACGCTCAGAGATGCCGTTCGGAAGCGACATCTCTGGCGCGATCCCGAGCGCACGGCGACTACAGAGAGAAACAATGAAGCTGAATGATATATTTATCATTGTGTGATATAGTCGCAACAGTCATACGTAAAAAAGAAACAAAAAAGAAACAAATTCTAACGATCACATACTTACCTACATATTCGTGTTTGATGGTTGACAATAACGCCTAGTTTCTTGTTTACTTTTAGCTCATCTCGTTGTTGCTTCTCGACAAGGCTCTTTATCAGTTCCATCAAAACTTTTAGCTGGCCGCAAGCATGCATTACGAAGACGATGATGAGACCATATATACTTGTCGCGATCGATATAGTGACTACTCCGGACAAACAATGCAACGCAAACACTATTTCGTAGGTCGGATTGGATTGTACATCGAACGAAAAGAGAAAAGTTGGATAAGGTAAAGATCTGATCGTAGTTTTGTGGAGTGATAATCTTCCCTTTGGACAAGAGCAACAATGTTCGAAACGAAACTGCTATACAAAAAGACTGCGCAAAATGTGACCAAACGTTTTCCGATTCTCGCAGATTCGAGCATTGTGTCTCGCTTCTTCGTGCTGTCAACGTTTTTCCAATCCTCTTCGAAGTATTTCAAACAACGCTTGATCTGAACCTCACTGACAATTAAATTTAAATATTTGATGAGAGTCATGATACCGTAAAGCATAATTGGAGTCACCCGAAGTCGGGCGCGAAATTTCTTCTCGAATATCCAATAAGTGCATCTGGTACGAGAACGCAATAAAGTAGAATATAGGAAATGGGGATTCACAAATATTTGTCAAATTTCTCGCAAATCGACCGTTTTCCGTCAAACTTTAGCTAAACACCGAGTGTGGATAACATGTTGCGGTTGAAACGTAGAATGTCCTTAACATCGCGTTGGTAATATTCGTTATGTGACACTTCGCGCATTTTAAAGATCTCTTCGCAACTTCGTTTGCGGGAATTATCTTTTTCTCAAATTTCATTGTATCGCGTTACGTTGTACAAGATACGTGAGACTGAGACACGAGTGAAAACAGTACTGATGGTTGAAGTAAAAGTCTACGAGAAGGTAAACTTGCAAATACAATGCGCTTGCGCGCAACAAACCTCTACTGTTGCGTGAGACAGAAAAGTTAAAAGCTACAAAGTTTTTAAAGCAATCTGTGAGGCCGGTTTTCCTTGCGTATAAAAAGTATTTTTATCCTCTAGTTTTCATGACAACAGGACGTGGCTTTGTCAGATTTCGCTTCTATCCATATTGAAACGATGTATCTTAATTATGATATCGTAAAATAATGAAAGAAATACTAAAATAGTAAAGGTTAATATTCCACACAAATTCTGAACGCTCGAGAAGTCATTAATCGAATATTATACTTTACATTAGAAATTAAAGGCACGTAAAATATGTGTGTGTATCATTCTTCATATATATACACTAACATAAATAGTATAAAATTAAAGAAAAAAATTAAAATGTTAAAAGTAATATTTCGCTACTACATTGCATTGTTCCTATTTTAGACTTGAATTTGATTCAAGTGTTAACTTTGTAACGAAGTTTTACGACAGGAATAAAAAAGAGATTTTACATACAACATGTAACTTTCTAGTAATTTAATCTTTTTCGTGTGTTGTAGAATTTTACGCTGAAATATTTCCAAGTAACTCTAGTGATATTTTTAATATATGTATAGGGTGGCCCACATAAAGTGATAATGTAATAACTCTAAACATATTTGTCCTATCAAAAAGTTGTTCATGAGAATGTTTCATATATTCGAGGGATCTTTCTAACTACGTAAACAAAAAATGTAAATAACGTCTGTTTCCCCTTGAAGAGGGGGGATACTTCATAGTTTCAAATGGGACCCCCAATATCACTTATCCACTTGTCAGCAGATATCTCATTTAAAAAGATACGTGTTTTTCTGGAAAAATGGAAAAGTGAACCATCTTGTTGAAAACTTATTATTTCTTTTGGTTAACATTAAATATGTACTCTAAAGTCGTTTTGGTTGTATCGCGAATATAACTTTGTGTCAATGGAGTTCATCATAAATAAAAAAAATGGTTAAAAGTTTAAACGTTTATAACTTTTGATAGGAGCATTTTCCAAAGAAATGTTTCAGACAAAGCTTACTTGTTTTTTCCTGTGGAATCCAAATATATAACATTGTTTCCATTTAAAACTTTGAAGTTACCCCCCGCCTCTCTTCAAGGGAAGGAAGTGGATTTTTGTTTACGTAGTTAGAAAGGGCCCATGAATATATGAAACATTCTCATAAACAACTTTTTGATAGGACAAATATGTTTAGAGTTATTAACTTGTAATACTTTACGTGGGTCATCCTGTATATACAGGGTGTCTCACACTATTACTGCGCGCTGCGACTCGAGCGGTCCATCCTCTACCATTCAGCGTGCGTTTTTCCTTAATCTTTTTTAATTAATATCTCGACTATTATTGCGAATATCGCAAAACGGTATAGGACTTTTATATTCACATCAACCCCCCACGTCCATTCTACGTCCCCACAAAATTCCCGGAAGAGAGTGTGAGATACCTTGTATATACAGGATGTCCCGCGTAAGGTCCCGCCAAAAGAAAAATATAAACAGAAACAATATAACAGTAGAAAAGTGAACAAAAATTGTAGAGTAATTGTCATTTTTCAAACAACCACGTAAAATTTCGAGATATTAATTAAAATATTTGGCTAAATTAGAGCGCGACGACGCGGCAGGCGGGACATACGGCTCGCCGCTACTAGCGAAAAAAATGGACGATTACTCGCGGAACTATCATATAGACCAGAGAGATGAGCCATTTGGCATACGGAAATGATTAGCTCTATGTGTGCGTCCGTGTACGTGTGTGCTCGTTCATTTTCTTCACCGGCCGCGGCAAGCCGTATGTTCCCTCGCGTCGCGCGCTCAAATTTATCCATCTATTTTTATTATCTCGAAATTATACGTGGTTGTTTGAAAAATGATCTCTACAATTTTTGTTCAGTTTTATCTGTTCTACTTATATTTTTCTTTTGGCATACCTTACGCTGGACACCCTGTATATACAGGTTGTCCCACGTAAGACGTACGAAAAGAAAAATATAAGTAGAACACATAAAAGTGAACAAAAATTGTATAGGTCATTTTTCAAACAACCGCGTAAAATTTCGAGATATTAATTAAAATAGTTGGGCATATCAGAGCGCGGCGATACGGCAGGCGGGACATACGGCTTGCCACGGCCGGCAAAGAAAATGAAAGAACGCACACGTACACGAACGCACACACGGAGCTACTCATTTCAGTATGCCAAATAGTCCACCTATCTGGCCTATAAAATAGGCCCGCGAGCAATCGTCTATTTTTTTCGCCGGCCGCAGCGAGCCGTATGTCCCGCCTGCCGTGTCGCCGCGCTCTAATATGCCCGTTTTAATTAATATCTCGAAATTTTACGTGATTGTTTGAAAAATGATCTATACAATTTTTGTTCACTTTTATGTGTTCTACTTATATTTTTCTTTTCGTACGTCTTACGCGGGACACCCTGTATATGTATGAATCTGGTATTAGATTTAACAATTAGCTACAGATATTATTTTTAAATTATGACAGAAATTGAGTCGCTTATCTAAGTTCGTTTAGTTGATAATTTTTTAATATCGCATACGTTTTGATGACTAGATGTTGATGGGTTAATATAATATTTCCATCCTCGATTTTCTGTACATCTTTCTCATTCTCCCATTCTCGATTCTCATACCCTTGATTATTAGAAATATATTCAGCTGGTTGTATTTCGAAGCACATTAAAATATGTCGCAGATGTTTTAAGAATCTGAAAAAAATAAAGAAGTAATTCACGTATTATCTTCAATATTAATGATATATCTGAAAAAGAATTTATAATTAATCATATCTAATCTGTAATTCGTATTTCAGAAATAAACTAATATCGCATTAGTAAGATTAATTTGAAATCATACATACACGTGCACACACGCATATATAAATAATCTACTTAAAAAAGTTAACTTCATATTTAAGATATTAATAGTAGATAGACAGAAGCAACAAATGCATATACAGGGTGTCTCACACTCTCATCCGGGCATTTTGTGAGGACGTAGAACAGATTGAGGTGAACATAAAAGTCCTATATTGTTTTGCGATATTTGTAATAATTATGAAGATATTAATTGTAGAAAATTTGTGAATAATCATGCAGTATATGGTAAATGAGTTATAATAGCGACGACTGCCATCGTGTACTTATACTTTAGGTCAAATTGAACAAAAAAGTCTTCTACCATTTTGCAAATAATTACATAGATTTTTAATTATTAATTAAAGAAAATGAGTGATTTATCACGCAAAATCGTGCAATAATCGTCTTTAATTAATAATTAAAAATCTATGTGATTATTTGGAAAATGGTAGAGGACTTTTTTGTTCAATTTGATCTAAAATATTAGTACACGACGGCAGTCGTCGCTACTATAACTCATTTACCATATTCTGCATGATCATTTACAAGTTTTCTATTATACAATTAATATCTCGATAATTATTGCTTATATCGCAAAGCGGTATAGGATTTTTATGTTCACCTCAACCTGTTCTACGTCCCCACAAAATTCTCGGAGGAGAGTGTGAGACACTCTGTATTTATATATATATATATATATATATATATATATATATATGTGTGTGTGTGTGTGTGTGTGTGTGTGTGTGTGTGTGTAAACATACGCTTATTTATATATTTATATGTATATAATAACTCCTTTTCTTTCCATTTATGTCATGACGAAAAACATTCACTATACGAGTAAGCTGTTATAACTACATTTGAATTCATTCTCTTACATCGTCAAATGTTTTGAACGACAGGACAATGAGTTTGCGAGCAGTGATTTTCATTGGCCTGTTAAACATAATCATCATTAAGACGAATCTGCGTGCCTTCTTATCCGGAAGACGATACCACTCCAGTTCACAAGAAGTAACTGCTACCTTCTCCGCCTATTATTACAAAGAGAAAGATGATATTTACGAACTTTTGCAGCAAGACATCCTAGATGAGCGATTCCAGACGTATTAAGATGTGTACATCAGGCGCTCACATTTATGAAACATACAAGGATGTAATTGCATGTACCTAATCGAAGAAACAATTTGCATAAGACAAACATGCAACCTTAATTATGAAAGATGAAGATAACGTTAATAATCCGCGTATATTAGCAGTGCTAGCGATGATAAACTTGAATCCTCATATTTCGACTAGAGCAACTGCAACGTAATTTAGGAGTTCCTTATGTCACTTTCCTTATGTCACTGTGTGGAGGATTTTACAAGGACATAAATTCCATCCCTACCATATCACTTTAACCCAAGATGTAAGTGAAAAAGATATGAGGCGAAGAAGATAATTTTGTCGTTAGACTTTACGAATGATAAGAGAAGATCCAACTTTTTTCCAGTATGTTCTCTTCAGTGACGAAAACTCATTTTATAACAATGGACAACTCAATAGGCATAAATGTATTTATTGATCCACATACAATCCTCACTGGACTCAACGTGTTGATAATCAACATCGTTAGAATTTAAATACTTGGTGCGGAATTGTAAATGAATATTTGATTGGTCCATACATTTTTGATAACCGTTTAAATGGGGAAACTTACCTTTCTTTCTTGCAGAATAAATTGCCTGAGCTTTTAGAAGAGGTTGATTTTGCTACTCGACAAAAAATATGGCAGCAAGACGATGCACCACCCCATTCTCATCGTATTGTGATGGAATATCTCAATAACATCTTTCATGAAAGACGAACAGGGAGGTATGGATATATTCGGTGACATCCATGGTTTCCTGATTTAACTTCGTGTGATTTTTTTGTGGGGCTACATAAAAAATATTGTTTACAAAACTCCGCCGACATCTGCAGGAGACATGAAAAATTGAATAACTAATGTTTGTTGTAGCATTCCTCAAAATATTTTAATTTCAACAGTAGAAAATTTTGAGAAACGATTGAAACTATGTCTGTAAGAAAATAGAGCTCCATTTGAACATCTTATCAAAGGCTAAAAACATATTTGAATTGATCTTGCTTTAATTGGTCGCATCAGTGATCAGTCTTGCCTTAATTTTCAAGCTCCATAACTCGGAAAGTACTCAATAAAAGGTAACTTTATTATAGTGTTTTGGAAAGCTCTAGTGATAAGCTACAAGAATATGTAATAAAAAAATAGGGGTTTCCGTTTAAAAAAACATTAATGACTTTGACCTGATTTTGACAAGGTCACTCAAGAGCAAGTCCATATTTTCATCATGTGTCTCCCTTTAAGTCATGCAACTTTCGTTGGAAAAATGTTTCAATAAAATCATCGATACACGAGATAATCGACCATATCACTTAAAGTGAAACATCCTGTATATATATAACACTTTTATAACACAATATATATTAACATTATTTATAATAACTATATATATGTGATAATATATATTGTTATATAATATATTATATAAATGTGGAATATAATATAAAATATACATTTTTATTATTTTAATATATTGAATTTATGAACACATTTTTTAGAAAATTCTTGTAATTTATTTTTTCTAATTTTTTAATGCTGATAAAATTCAAATAAATTAAAATTATAAACTATTAATATGCAGTAGTATAAAATACAAATTATTGCTGTGGTCCTGATATTTCTATAAAACATATCTGTTGAAGAGTGAAATGTCCACTAATTACAAAAAGCTGAAATATATTTATTACAGCGTGATAAAACCGTAACATATATCATATTAATAGTAAAAATAGTAAATAATACTCATCTTCGTAGAATATCATAGTATCGTATTTGGCGAATGCAATAAATGAGTAGATTATAGGAGCAATCATAGTCAGTTTGGCATGCGACTCTTCTTCAACGTAGAACACACAATAGAGAAAACCAGGAACGACTATGACGCACACAAGGGAGCAGCTGGTTGTTATTATACGTATTTTACATATCATTTCAACGACGGACAGGTCTCTTTAGAGTAGAGGCCAAACACCAAGTATTCGTAGAAAAAATTGACTCTGCTTAGTGACATATTCTATATCTTGCTCGTAATACTTATTTGTACCAGCCTGCGAAAGTGGTCTCTTCATAGCGAATGAAGAGAAAAGTTTTGAAAGAAGTTAAGAAATTAATTAAAAAAGTTAAAAAATGCGTTTTGGATTTAAAATCCTCGATAACACATCGAAAGGTACCGACGATATTCTATATGCTCCAGATGTTTGCAAGTCGCGAGCTCGCTTACTACTGATCGCCAGTAAACAACGAGATCGACTGATGCGAGCATGCGAAACGTAAGTATTAAGGGAGCTTGCGCGCATTTTACACATTAATATTCCAAGTCAGGAATGAGAGGAAATTCAAACAACTGCTACACTGCATTACCTCTGTTTTAAACTTGAACTCTGAAGGGTTGACTCTACGAGGGTTGACTTTCTAACAGACAAGAAATTTTAATACAAAGGGAAAGACTGAAACAGACGTTCTATATATATCCGAAGTAACTTTCAAATAATCATACCTCTTCTACCTCGTGGAGTTTCACTCTGCAGTAACTAATAATTTACTCGGTACCAATAAATCTAGTATTCAATTTATATAGTCAACTACAAACCCTTTTTCAAAAAATGGCAGAATTATATTTTCTATTTTTAGTTTAATTTTTCCAAAAAAATTCACAGAATTTCATTCACTTATCATGTTCATTTTGGTAAGAAAAGTTAAAGTGCATCATAGATATTGGTGAAATATAATGTTGATTAGTTAATGTGATATTACCATTATATATCTTGCATCCATGTTCGTTCGTTAGATTCTCAGTTACAAAAGCGGATCAGTTTGTTACAGTTCGAAGCACATTAAAATAAGTCACAGCTGTTTTAAGAATCTGGAAAAACACAGAAATATTTTACAAATAAAATTTCATATTTAAATAGAAAATTTTATAGTTGCCTTCACATAATTTTTCATACGAGATTCAAACGCAATGAAATAGTGCATTATTAGTCAAATTATCTTAAAATCACAAATATAGGCAATATGGAACAATATAAGTATATACAAAAAAGAGATAATATAAAAATATATTAGTTCTAGGAAGTATAAACAAACATTTTTTCCACTTCATCACGATAATTGCTATTGCGTACGAGTAAATTATACTAATTATGCTCTAATTTGTTTTCTTACATCGCCAAATGTCTTGAATGATAGGACGAAGATTTTACCAGCAGTAATTTTCATCGGCATATTAGACATAATCATCACTAAGACGATTCCACGTGCCTTCTTATCCGGAAGACGATACCATTCAAGTTCGCAAGATGTGATCGCTACCTTCTCCGTCTATCGTTTCAAGTAGAAAGCTATAATTCCTAAGCTTTCATGAACAGGTAGTCTTAAACGAGTAGTACTAAACGCATTAAGATATATATCGAGTGCACACATTTATGCTGCATACATGACTACAATTGCATATGCGTGATCGAAGAGACAAACTTACAATCTCATTATATGAAACTTTACCTGTGTATTAAGCTGCTCGCCCGTATAACAGAATAGGAACATATTTATTACCGCAGCAAAAAATGTAATAAAATAAGAGGTCATTGCTATTGAATTATTATTTTCCCATTCCTATAAAAAAATTTATGTAACATTTCTATATTACGCGTGTAACAACTACTGTAATGAATTCGCCGACAAATTCTGGTTGAACATTCATTGTGATTTACTTTGTAATACTTTAGAGCTAACGATATTAAAATGAGTAAAACTACACACCATTAGTACACAATAAGACACAATACAAATTATTATTGTACACCCTATTATTTCTATAAAAATCATATAATGAAGGGTATGCTCCACCAGCTGCAGAAACCTAAAAGGAATTTATCGATAATGTGATATTGTTGTGATAGTTACACATAAAAATAAACAAGTAAAACATGATCTAATAATCATGAACACACCTGCGTATTCGTATTTGATGCTCTACAATAACACCTAGTTTCTTATTCACCTCTAATCCGTCTTGTTGTTCCTTTTCAACGAGACCTTTTAGTAAATTTACTAAAATTTTCAACTGGCCGCAAGCATGCATTACGAAGACAATGATGAGGCCACATATACTTGTCCCGATCGAAAGAGTGACTACTCCACACAAAAAGTGCATCGCAAACACTACCTCGTAGATCGGACTGGATTGTACATCGAATGAAAAGAAATAAGTTGGATAGGGTAAAGGTCTGATGGTAATGTTTTGTGGGGTTACGATCTTCCCTTTCGACAAGGGTATCAACGTTCGAAACGCAAGTCCACTGCTGTATAAAAAGACCGCGTTAATCGTAGCCAAACGCTTTCCGATTCTCGCGAATTCTAACATTGCGTTCCTTGCGCCCGCGTTGTCGACCTTCTTCCAATCCTCTTCGAGAAACTTTATACAGTGTCTGATTTGATTTTCATGATTTATCAAACTATAATATTTGATTATAGTAATGAAACCGTAGAGCAACATTGTAGTCAAACGAAGTCGAACGCGAGTTCTCTTTTCAAATATCCAATAAATCGCGCCGGGCACAAGGGCGAAATAAAGAAGAATGTATGAGACAGAAATTCGGAGAAACTTGTTAATTTTCTCGTAAGCAGATGATTTTCCATCAAAATTTGGCCAAACACCGATTAAGGATAAAATATTGCGAGTTAGTTGTAAACTAATCTTAATGTCGTTCTGGTAATGGTTGTTGTGTGGCACCTCGCACATTATGAAGATCGCTTTGCGATCCTGCTATGCAAAAGTTACTTTATTCACCGAAGAATGTTGTACTAGTTGCGAAACGGGTAAGCCGCGAGTCAAATCAGGACTGATCGTTGAAGTAAAAGTCCACGATAAGGTAAACTTGCCAATAGAATGCGCTTGCGCGCATCAAATCTCTAATGTTGCGTGAGTCAGAGAAGTTAAACGTAACAAAGTTTATAAAGCAACTGGCTTTAGTGAGGTCGATTTTGCTTGCGTCTAGAAAATATTTTTATCCTCTAGCTTTTACATCAGAGAGTGACTCCATCGGACTTAGCTTCTATATCCATTGAAATCCGTAATTTTAATCATAAAATCGTAAAGTAGTGAAAGAAATAGTAAAATAATAAACGTTGATATTCTATAAAAATTCTGGTCTCTCGAGAAGTCATCAATTGAAAATTAAAATTCACATTAGAAGTTAATGGTATGTAAAATGTGTGTGTGTAATTCTTCATACATATACGCTGACATAAGTAGTACAAAATTAAGGAAAAGAATAAAATTTTAAAACTAATGTTTTAATTACTACATTATATTGTTCCTATTTTAAATTTCAACTGTCAATCAAGGGTTAACTTTCCAGCAGAGAAGAAGTTCTACAACAGGAGTGAAAGACTGAAACAGATCTTATACATCTAAAGTAACTTTCAAGTAATTTAATTTCTTCCATATATAGTAAAGATTTATGCTGAAATATTACCAAGTAACTCTAGTAATATTCTCTACAAATATGGATTCTCTACAAAATATGAATCCGGTATTAAATTTAAAAATCAGCTACAGATATTATTTTTAAACAGTAATTGAATTTTTCGCTTATTTCGTGAAAAATTCATTTTGGCTGGCAATTTTCAAATGTCACATACGTTTTGATGACTAGATAATTGTTTAATATAATATTTTCATCTTTCATTTTCCGTACGTCTTTCATATTCTCATTCTCCCATTATACTCTCGATTACAGAAGCGCATTTAACTGGTTACACTTCGAAGTATATTAAAATATGCAGCAGATGTTTTTAGAATCTGAAAAAAATAAAAGGTATCTCAAATTATCAACTTTACCATTAATGATATATCTGAAAAAGAAATTATAATTATACATAATCTATAATTCGCGTTTCAAAACTAAAATAACATCGCATTAGTCATATTAATTTGACATTATGTACATAAATAATTTATTTTTAAAGAAGTTCTTTTTACATTTAAAATTATGATAATTACAGAAACAACGAATGTATATATATATATATATATATATATATATATATATATATATAT